CAGCAAAAATTATCCTAAAGAATTTAATGCCAACACAGTAGCCGTTTACAATGGTTATCAACAATATAGACGTCGTGATGATGGGTTGGTTATCAATATTAAAAGCAACAATGAAGATAACCGTTGGGTGGTATCTTACAATCCTTAGTTATCTAAGAAATATCAAGCCCACATTAATAATGAAGCTAGCATGTCTGTAAAGTTTGTTAAATATTTGTACAAATACATAAACAATGGACATGATTGTTAATCACGATGAAGTAAATATTTTTTTGGATTGTCGTTATGTTAGTGCACCTAAGGCACTGTGGCGAATATTTGAGTATCCCATAAGTCATATGTCACACACTATTATCCGTTTTAAGGCTCATCTTCCTGAGAATTAGATTGTGTAATTTAGAGAAGGAGAAGAAGTGGCTTTAGATAATGCTGCTTAACGCGATACACACCTTACTGCATGGTTTAAATTGAATTAAAATGAAGGAGCGCATCGCTATTCATATGTAGACATTCCATATCACTATGTATTTAATGATAAACATTGTAAATGGAAGGTTAGACAAAGAGGTGGAAATAAGGTGATAGTAAAAATGTATAAAGTTAGTCCAACAGGAGAATTATTTTTTCTTAGGTTACTTATGCAGACATAAGCAAGATCTTGGGAGGATTTGCGTACTGTTAATGGAATAGTTCTTAAAACCTTTCGTGAAGCATGTGTTTTAAAAGGTTTGTTGCAAGATGACACTGAATGGCAGAGTACTCTTTCTGAGGCAGTTTTAACGGGAATGCCTAAGCAAATTAGACAGCTGTTTCCAATTATTTTAACCTTTTGTGAACTTGACAACCCTTTGCATCTTTGGAAAACTTTTATGATGGAGGATTTCATTCATCGCCTAATCCCGTTTATATTAGCTGAACAAGCTACTCTTAGTCAAATCGAAAAGATTATTAATCAAATTGTAAAACGCTATCTGATTATAATTTGCCTATTGTTGATGAATTCATAGAATTTAATCTAGAAATTTAAATGATAATGTTCAGCAATCAATTGTCGAAGCTAATAAAATGAGACCGCTTTTCAATGTCAATCAATTAAATGAAAGTAAAGCTGTCCTTGCTGCATTGAACGAGCAACCAAGTGTAGAAAATCAACATTCCAGATTATTTCATATGGATGGACAAGCCGGTAGTGGCAAAACTTATACATATAATTGTTTGATTGCTGGAACGAGCCCTAGGGGTGTTAAATCTGCTACAGCTGCATGGACTTACATAGCAGCAACTCTTCTTACAAATGGATCTACGCTGCACGGCTTATTTAAACTTCCTGTCCCACTACTGGATAACAGCACATGAAATGTGACTTCTAACTCTATTCAGGGACAACATTTAAGGCAAGTTAGTTTGTTTATGCTTGACGATACATCCATGATTTCCAAACACGCATAAAATGCAATCAATCGGTTGTTAAAAGATGTTTGCAACAACAACTTTCCGTTTGGTGGAAAAGTCATTCTTTTTAGTGGTAACTTTAGGCAAATATTGCCAGTTGTGTAAAGAGGACGACCAGCTGAAGTTGTAGAATCATGTATAAAATTTTCTATACAGTGGCAATGGGTGCAGAAGTGTACATTAACTGAAAATATGAAAGTACGTGATGGAGAAGGAGAATTTTCCGAATGGCTGTTAAAACTTGGTAGTGGAACAATGTCTGTCAAGAAGGAAGATCTTTTTAAAGGATGTATTGAAATAACGCAATTACTTTCTCCAGTAATTACATTACTGGAGAAAATAAATCAATTGTTGAAAAAATATTTGGAGATGCTCAACAAGATGAGTATGCTAAACGTGTCATTTTAACACCCACTAATGTGGATTCATTGTCAATCAATGAAGAAGTGCTTGAACGTCTTCTTGGAGAGGTCAAAACTTATTTAAGTGCTGATCAAATAGAGACTGATGACCTTAATGAAAGAAGTAATTTCCCTGTTGAGTTTTACAGCTTAACTCCTTCAGGTATGCCTACTCATTGTTTAAAATTGAAAATTGGTTGTGTAATTATGCAATTTAGAATTTTAGATCTTAAAGCTGGGCTATGTAATGGCACTCAATTGAAGTTTGCGCTCTTCTAAACAATTATATTGATGCAGAGATTTTGACAGGTGTTTCTGAAGGTAAACGGGTATTTGTTCCTCGAATTCAGTTGGCTCCGTCGGATTCTAACTTACCTTTTGTTCTAAAACGTCGCCAGTTTCCGGTCCGATTGGCATATTCTATGACAATAATTAAAAGTCAAGGTCAAACGTTTGATAGAGTTGGTGTTTATTTAAAAAAAACATGTTTCTCTCATGGTCAATTACATGTAGCGTGTTCAAGAACAAGGGCGTTTAATAGTTTATTTTTTAAAGTTGATAAACATCCTATTCAAGGTATGGTAGGTGGAAAATGTTACACAGATAATGTTATATTTTCTTTAGAATCTCATTTGACAAAAGGTTGAGAGCACATTTTGTATGTATAACTTTATTTATTATTTTAATTTTTTTTTTAATAGATTTTGATAAATAACTTTATCATTTAATATTGTTATAAAATGTTTTTATATTTGTTATATAAAGTCATATTTGTTTATAGTTGTATATATGTTTGAATTATGTTGTTTCCATGTTTTCAAAGTAGTGTGACTTGGCAAGTGTGTTGAGCAAGTTTGATAAACTTGCCAGCCAAGCTGCGTATTTAAATACGATATATTGTATTTATACAATTTTAAAAAAATAAAACTGATTTCCTTTTATTGTAAACTTTTGTTAGTTAAAAAAATATCAATATATGCAATTAGTTCAATTTTTTTATATTCTCTCTATTTTATTCCTAATAATTTATTGTACGTATCTTGGGGATCTTTGTAAACGGGGGTGTGGGTTGTAACTAAAAACAAATTAAAAAGCTTTAAAAACATGGAGAATATTTTCGTTTTGCGCATTTGTCAAATAATGAATTACTTAAATATATTTAACGTGTTTAACTAACTAATTAGCTTAGTCTGGATTTGCAACACTTTTGAAGAAATAAAGAAAAAATTCTTATATATAGAAATCATTGTTTTACATTTTATTATTTTGGTTAATTATCTTCATCAAAAACTTGATTACTCTTAATAAAAATAACTCTACTCACCTTGCCAACATTAAAGCAAAATTAAATTTCGACTAACAAAAGGAATTTTTAGTAAATGGTAGCAAATTACCGTTGACAAAAAATTATTGAAATAAAGAGCCCATACAACTAATATAGAAATGGTCTGTGTTGAGCAGACCCAGGTTTACAAACATGAAATTATGTCATGTCAAAAACTATGAATCCTTAAAAGCCACTTTAAAACATTTTTGGTAGCAAAATGTGATAGTGTAGTAGAAAACCTATTTTAGGATTTTTTGGCTCATAAAATGGATTTAAGACATAATTGATTGTGATTTCTTGTTAAGCCGCAATATATAACAATTAGAAGGCTATATGGTCCAGATAGAATATCCAACAAATATTTAATTTGTATTAAACTCATTCACAAAAAATATATTAAGTTTTAGACATTGATTAAAATTGCTAATCATAATATGTGACCCTCGCGATAGAAAAGGGACCGGTAGATAGGGGGAAATGAGTTGTTCATACCACAGAAACAAGCTAATTAAACTGAACAAAATAACATCAAGATCTTTAAAATAACTCGACTGGATCCAAAGTTATGATTTTTTATATTCTAAAGTTAAAATCAAATTAAAGTTTTAAAGTTATGATAAAATGTTATTTGCAATAATTTTGGAAAATGTTGATATGTTAACGTTAATATGACCAAAATAATCAATTCATTAATAGTCTGATATCTATCCATCTATCAAATTCAAATAAAAACAGAAAACTTAAAAACCATAGGTCACTGTGTTTAAACGTGATGTTCTCAGAAACTAGATCCCGCCATGTGGTTTCTTTTACCACGAGGCCAAATATTGTTAATTGAATATACTAATCGTTTTGTAATTTGTTATAATGTAATGCCAAAGTTAAATGCGCTTTTACTTTTGTTACTATCGGCTGTTTTGTTAGGCTTAGTGATGCGCAGTTTTGTTTGTGCGCTGTTTTGTGATTTGTTAGTTTTTCTTCTGTTCTGGAGTTTTAAGATTAAAATTTCCAGACCTATAAAAAAGCACGTTTAGAATTTATTCGATCTATTGCATCTCATCATATCTTTAAATTAGGTTGTATTCTGTTTAAGCATTTTAATCGTTTACATTTTTTATGTCTTAACGTGTCTATTACCGTTATTTAGTTTGTTTTTAAGCATATTTTTTTTTATTTTTTATACCGAATCAATAGAATGTCCCAAATGTTGAGGATGAAGGTTTGTATTTATTTAGATGTGTTGTTATGTTACGGATTTGTATCATGTTACGGAGTTAGTTCTTAAATATATGTTTATTTTTTAGTCGCTGAATTACTAAGAAGTAAGTTTTGTTCCATTTCGTTATAACTAAATGTTTTAAATTGCAATTTGTATATGTTGGTTGATTTAAATTTAAATTTTAAGTTGAATTAAACTTTGAAATAATAAAACGGTTTAAATGATTTTTAAATTTTTGTGAATTAATTTAATTGAGAAAGATTAAATAACTATTTTATTATTGAAATAATTTAAGTAGATTTAGGAAGAATCGACTTTTGCTTTTCTTTTTATTATATAACTGCTTTTTTTGAAGGAGGTTTAAAATTTCAGGTTTTTAAAATCTTCTTAATATAGTATCATAAATAGATCAAAGATTCATTTAATCTTTTTAATCTACTACCAAAGTGTAAATTTACTATCAACTGTTTGTTTTTCTGTTTAGTTAACAACAATGAAAATAGAGGTAGTAAGTTTGAAAAGATTTTTTATTTCTTATAAAGTAACTAAAATAACTAAAATGTTTTTAAAAATGATGTTGTTGATTTAAAAACTGTAAAACAGTAGGTTTTTATAATCTTATGCAATAAGCCCAAAAATTCACATCCTACTTAAAATTATATTTAATTAAGAAAAGATATTTAAAATTCTTATTGAGACAGATTTTTGTCATTTTATATTAAATTAGTTTAACTATGATTTATTTTTTATAATTAATAAAGAGAGAGCTTATGAAGGTATTATTTACATTAGTTAGGTGAATTTATTTTTAAAAAATTCGATAGATATTTTAACGTCTATACATTTAAGTGCTTTTAATGTTTAGACACAGAGTTGAAGAGTAAGATAAGTCAGTGTTTTTGCTATTAGATATTTCTTATTAGGAATTTGTTTATTTGTACTGTATCTGGAGTTTTAAAACTTCAAGTACATTAGCTTTTATTTTCCTTCTAGGAGAGTTGGAACAAAAACTGAGTATGAATTATATGATTAGAATAGTTAAATACCCAGCAAACCACGGTGCTCGGGCCCCGCGCCGTATTTATCTGGGCTAGTCTGGGTAACCCAGCTTGGGTTCAGCGAGGTTTTTGTGTCGGTTTTAGTGTGGTTCCCGTGTTGATATCCCGAACCATCGTGAAACAAATTAAATACACACCTACCAATATTACAAAATACATCAAAATTTATTTATATCAGCAAATTAAAAATTTGGGAATTTAATTTATGGATTTATCTATGACATAGATAAAAATGGACTATGTATTTATTTATAAGAAATGTTTATATATTTTATATGAACATTTAAATGTTTTATATGAAAGGTTTATATAAACTATTTTGCATAATCTATAGATTATGTAAGTACATATATGTACTTACTATAATGTAATTATATTATACTTACTATAATGTAATTATAATAAGATCATTATTTAATAATTTAATCTGATGGAACTTGGTAATAAACAAAATAATGATTAACATATGAATCATATGTTAATCATTATTTTGTATTACACGAACATTCGTATTTCATCAGGTAATCTATTGCATGTTTCGTCAGATAACCAAGTCCCATCAGATAACCATAATATTTTATTAAAACTTATATTTGTATTATCTTAACATATTTAATATTTAAGCAATAGCTGTTATCAGAAAGCATTAAATAAATTTTAGAATTATAATGGCAGCATTTAATGGGAACGTTAATTCCAAGACGTGTTCAGATAGAACAAAAAGAAGAAGAATTAGATCAAGAGTTTCAAACGTACTTACTGAGTTAATTCAGAAAGTTAAGTTCAAAAGTATTTCCATGCTAGATAATCCTGTTATTACTTCGAAGACTGTGGATGACTTAAGCTTTAGTAATTGTAAAAAAAAATTGATCATAATGCAAACGAACACAAAAATCCAAATGAACCTTTTACTATTTTCGATAGATCTCAAAGAGAGTTTTCAGAAATGTTCTCTAATATTATTAAGTCTAGTGTTGGTTTAGATTATAGTAGCTGTGATTTAGAAGCTGATGAAGTTAGCAGCACCCTAAGTGATGATAATGATAATAATAATGAAAATGATGACTGTACACTAGTAAATAAAATTCGAGATTGGGCAATAACATATCGTATATCTCATTCAGAGGTTTATTACACATACTATATTATATTCAGAGGTTTATTACACATATTGACTCCATTAAACACTGATCTTCCTACTGATTCAAGAACCCTTTTAAATACTCGTCGAAATATTGATATCAAGCATCTTGCAGATGGAGATTATTGTTATTTGGGGTGCAGTATTGAATACAAAACATTTAAAAATTCAATCTGCCTATTACTCAAATTAATCTTTTAGATATTCATACTAACATTGACGGTATACCACTTTTTAACAGCAATTCTATTTCTTTTTAGCCGATTCTTGGTTCACTAAAAGAGTGCCCATCAGGTGGAACTTTTCCTATTGCTATATATAGAAGGACTAAAAAACCTACTTCTTTTAATGAATATCTGAATGACCTTGTTTCAGAAATGAAGAGCTTAAATCAACATGGCTTTTTATTTAATAATAAAACTTACATAGTGAAAATTGATGCTATAATTTGTGATACACCAGCAAGGGCTTTTATTAAATGTATTAGGCCTCACTCTGCTTATAATTCATGTAAGAGATGTATGCAACGTAGCAAATGTGTAAGAAAATCACACTTGCTAATATAGCGGCAACACTAATTGCCGACTTGATCTTTACTGAGCGTCATTATTCTGAGCATCATGTAGGTACTTCACCATTGAAGGAGTTGGGTTGTGGTATGGTTACAGAATTTCCGTTAGATTATATGCACATTGTGTGTTTAGGTGTTATGGGTAGGATTCTGTTTCAATGGATTCATGGGCCGCGTGGAGATTGGAAGCTATATCAGTTACAGTTATCCATGATATCTGACAACTTAGCTGTGATTCGTAAACACATCCCCAGAGAGTTTTCACGAAAACCACGATCTCTTTCAGAATATAAAAAATGAAAAGCGGTTGAATTGAGACAACTTTTATTGT